TATATCGGAATTCAAACTCTTCCTCTTGAACTCGTGGTAACTTTGACTGTTGTGGTTATAAGGTGCGAATTATGACGTCTTCTACTGACATTTTGCTACTCCCGGAACTCTCCTCAAATAGCCACAACGCGTCAGCGGGACTGATAAGCCCACCGCTATCCTTGTTTTCTGCCGATTTTCCACTCTCTGAAAATGATTCGATTTGTATTGTGCTGTGGGTTATTGAGGGGTTTTGCATCCCAGTTTTCGAACAAATTTTTACATTTGAATTTTGCTTCAGTGAGTCTCGCGTCCAGCATAAATATCATGTAAAGTTAGTTTGATTGTCGATCCCTTCTAACTCCTTTTCAACTTCCTTTTTGTTACATTCTGCTCTGCCTACTTCATATTCCCTCAAGTTTATTACTAGAACTCTAGAAAGTCCCTGTCTTGTTGCATAGTTTGTATGCTACCCGATATGAGGTTAAGCGTAACAGGTCTCGTAATTCTTATCCTCGCTTAGTAGGGTGTGGGGAGTTTTTGAGCTAAACGCAATCGCTTTCTTAATAAAGATCAGCGACATTTTAGTCCTCCTGGGGTAAGGCAATTCGGACTTCAAGGTCTTCTTTGCCAACCTTCTATGCTGCTGTTTTCGCACTTGTCGGCTATCTACTTGGTCGATGCATCAAAATATTTCAATCTGTGGCAGGTGTTGCCTGGTGGACACAACTCACAAAACAATCTTTATTCGAATGTTCGACAATGCACACGCGGCACGTCGACCCGCACGCATCCCACTTTACTATGGGAGTGAGGGGTGCGGTAGGTTCGGGGTGATTACCCGAACAAAAAGGCTAGGTAGGTGGGGAAAACAGAAAGAGGGCTTCGAATGAAAGGAAAAACGAAATGAACGAAGGCTGTCATCTTTAATGTAGCAAAGGCATCAGAGGCAATGCTCAATGCGGGATCTCGATGTAGTGGAAAGATTATAAAAGGATTTGGCAAAATCTCTAAAGCCTTATAGAGATTTCGAAAGTTGGAACCTTAAATAAGCCTTAGCTAACTGTTCATGACGGATACATCCGCAGAGTATGTGTCCACATGCAACGGCAATTACCGTTCTCGTAGCTAAACAGACGCTAAAAAACGGGAAAAAATAGAAAAACATGAGTCACCATTAACGAGAAGAGCTAGTCCTAGGACGGACGCTTACGTTGAGCAACATTCTGAACGACTCATAGCTCAGTGAAACCGTTGCTGCACGAATAAGCGATAGTCACTTTCTTGCCTTCAGAATCAAGTTTTGGTAACTTGTCGATAAGCCTCGGAAGGACATAGTATTATAAATTTCCTCATTTGGGCCTTTTTCCCATTTGTCAAAATGAAGTATGAAATGAAATTTATTCTATCGAGATCAGATATGAACTAGTGTAAAACGACTGCTTAAGAATCCTGCTCGCTATGAGGGTCTCCTTTTGTGAAAGCTACGTTGGTAAGTAAGGTTTATTTCTAAAACCGTTTTAAGATTACGAATCAAATCGCATGATGATAATGAACCTAGAAGAGATGAGAAATAGAGTAATATTGATTGGTATTCTATGATCACTCACTAATATGATTTGATGTTGATCTGAATACTGACTGTTATTAGAGAACAGATTGCAGGC